CCGATGGCTTCCTGAAGTCTCAAGAATTGCCTATCAACAATCGCTGACTGCCCAACCACAGGCTGGTAAATGTCTGTAAAGAAAAAGTCATTTAAGAATCCACATATCTATAAAAACCTGAAAATTAGCTGCTTAGCTATGCATTTAAGGAGTCTGGCAGCACTGTGGCTTAACAGTGTTCTTAAAACAGTGTTAACTATCAGTATGTACTCACAGTAACAGTAAGTCAAACTAACAGAAACAGAAGGTTTCACAGCCTCAAATACGATTTTTACCTCACCAGAGAAGCAGAAGTCACTTGTACTATGTAAGTACAGAAACATGAAGAATCTTAAGAGACCATGAGGAGCTTCCTGCAACCAGTGCAAATCAGATACTGACGGTGATCAAAGTTACCTGGCGGTATCTCTTTTTGGATCGTTCTCTTGACACTGAGTTTACACTTATAAACGAGCCCATAAAGGTTTGGTTTCTTTAAAGTGTGGCACATTTAACCTTATTTCCAAGCTAGCTATATGGCTTTGACAATTCATTTTGTGTTGTACTTACCAGTGATCATATCTGCAACAGTCACCAGTACAGGAGTAAACCTAGGTTCAGTCACACGCCTGCAAAATAAGAAGACATCCCAATTTTACAGTGCCAGCTGCACTCCTCCCACCAACAAGCAGCTTTCTCATACAGGCATATAATTTTTTCTTCATGAAGAGACATCACAGAACAGCAGAGATGTGAGTCAAAAAAAGCCACATGTAGTACTTATCCTCCTCCTTTCAGGAAAGCAGTGGGGGTTGGAGGACTGGCAAAAACCTCCGGTGCATGAAGACACAAGTTTAATTGAGGAGACAGAAAATAATAGACTAAGGGTAGAACGACTGGCGAAGTAAAATACACTCACTCATATTATCAGCAAAAATTTTTTGTTCTAACAGGTAAGCCAGTCCAGTACTATGAGTGAAAACCCAGAGCCTGATATCAGAAAGCAGAAGGCATGTGAGATTTCAAGAGTACCAGTGTTCCTTCCACCTCTGATGTGTTGAGACTGTGGCAAAAGCTATTAAGAAATACAGGTCTCGAAATAGTCAGGAAGAACTCAGGTTAAAATAATACCTTGCCACAAAGGTAAGAAGGAGATTAACTTGCTTCTCATCTCGGCCTGCAAGCGCACTTCTCAGTGTTCCTCTGCGATGTAGTTCCTGCATGACTGCAACTGTAACTTCAGGAGTATAAAGCCTGATGGGTGGCTGGACATACCGAAGAAAAGTTTAGTACCAAAGCAACATCTTTGCACACAAAAAAGGGCTGATATCAGCAAAACCAGAACAGAACCCACACAAGTTTGATTCCTTTCTAGTTATACACTGAAGTATTAGCTTGCTGTACAGAAAAAAATCTATGTCAGACAACAGCACACAACTCTGATGAGACAAAAATCAATGCTTTACCTCCAGTACCGCATCAAGGGCCTTGGAGGACTGAAAGCTCTTCAGCAGCTTGTCGTATTTCCTCAAAACACGTTTTACGGGTTTACTGACACAGAAATCTTCCTAGAATTGAAAGATGAGTTCAGAATAAGACCGACACGTACATACAATGGATTAGATGTATTACCATGAACAAGTTTCTATGTCTTTATATCCTCCCTCCCATCCCTTTTTTCAACTTAGCACACACTAAAAAAAAAAATATATACATTGAAGCGTGCTTCAGTATACATTTTCTCACACCCCTATACCTGTTTTGGCATGTAAGTTCTTCCTTTCACATAGGTTCTATACGCTGGTTGTCTCTTCTTTTGAGACTTTTCTTTCCTTTCTTCAGGTTTTCTGTGTTTAACATTTAGCACCCCATTGGTCATGCCTACAACTATGGTTTCATCTTCAGGCTAAAATGAAGAAATCACAGAGTTAGGAACTTAGTGTTTTATTTGGTGATGCATGCTCTACCATACAGATTTTTCAATTTTTATGCTTCATGATAAGGCTCTCATCACAGTATCATAGAATAACTTAAGTTGGAAGGCACTTCTGTGAGGTCCCATGGTTAAATACCTCGTTCAAAACAGGGACAGCTTCAAGGCTATGATCATAAGCAACATTATCCATCTAATAAACTTTCAACAAATATGTAGAGGGACTACAGCCTGACTAGTGAAGCAAGCCCATTTATGCATTAACATTCTTCTGTACGTATGATCGATGACAGGTGTGGGGTGTTTCTTTTTCCAGTGGTGTACAACTGCCTTTGGCTATTACATGCCATACAGCAGACATGAACACCACCTATGAGAAAGCTACTGTGAAACAGCAGGATTTTGAGAAACAAGTGAAAGTTGTTCAAAATACCAGTCACTGGTATTAAATTTGGTATTAAATTTCACCTCTGTAACAAAGGTTGCATGTGTTTGATGCTAAAGGTTGTAATTTTAAATCATGCACTGGAGAAAAACACTGACTTCACATATAAAATAGTGAGTTCTGATCTTGTTACTATTAACAAATAATTCTATGAAAACATTAAACATTAGCTGAATGCTCAACTACTGGTAAGAAAAAACCCCAAACAAATAAAAAGTGTTAGGAATTACTACAGAAGAAATGAAAACTAGAAGTCATTGTGCCACTGAATAAATCCAATGTTTACCCACATCTTAAATCCTATACGAGTCATTCTCAAAACAGTAGCAGATTCAGAAGAAGAGTCAAAAAACCCCAAGAAGAATCAAAGATTGGCTTGAGACAGAACTCTTCAGCATGGGAAGAAAAGACAACTGAGGATTCAAATGGAACAAAAGGAGGCGATTCTTCACAGAACAAGTAGCAGAAATGTGTGTCTCCTTGTCAAGGAATCTAGTGTAAATTAAAAGTTTGTCCAAGCTCAAGGAGAGACTGAGCAGGTTTATGTAAGACAAATTCTTTGAATTACACAGAAACTACACTCTGATGAGCTGATTTCTCATCTGAAAATGAGTTTGCATCTTGGGAGAATATCAGGAAACTTGTCATACACACTTGTTCTCAGTTTTCCGTAAGCACCATTCTTACAGCTATAGTTGGAAGCAGTGTCTGGAATTAGACCAGCCTTTGGTGTGACCCAGTAGAGCCACTCTTACATTCTCATATGACCATTTAAAACTCAAGGGTTGTAGTCAGTAGGGAATAAGGGAGGAAATAAAGAACGGAAGATACACTTCTACACACACACCTTCTCCTAGGTTCCAGAAAAGCAGAGCAATAGTAAAGTAGAAAAGGTAGTAAAGATCCCTCACAGTCCCTTTTACATGTCCTTCAGAGGCTATGTAAGAGGGTGACCACATGACAACAGCATTGTTTTAAAAAGTGGTGCTAGCCTCCAAATTTCTGGCCAGCAGGTCACTTATGCACTGGAACTCAGATGTTGCAGAGAAACGAGGGTCTTTGTTTTCTGTTTCCAAGACAGTAAGACACATGGCAAACAGTTTGTTTGTGCTCATACCTCATGCCCTCTCCTCTTCTCTTCCTCAGACCAACCTGACACCAATAACTTTTGATAGAAGTTCACCCTATTCTAAATTTCTCAACAAATGAACTACTTTTTTTTCTTTTATCACTGCCCCACAAGAGGACTCACAAAGTTCCTGAAAGGCAAAAGATGAGTACAGTCTTTTTACAGTCAAAGGATTTCCTTTCTAAACCGAACACTTTCCCTATGATACATACTGTCCTCAGTAAACACACAATTTTGTACAGATCTCATCAGGTAACATCTGGTATCTGAATGTATTATGTTTAGAACATCTTAATGCATTTTTTACTCAGGAGGAACATATTCAGTCATCCTGCTCTGCATGTACAGCATTCTTCTGAAACTCCCAATAGCAATGAAGCCAAAAATGAATTAGTGACTTACAACTCACTAATAAATCAGTAATTACCTTGCCTAGAAAGATTTCTAACATACTTACCGACAACGCAAGACTGAGGATGGATGTTGCATAGTTAAAGCTGTGGACTACTTTGTAGGATGTAGTACTGTAAATCTTCACATGCCTATACAGAAGAGTAATGATTAAAACCTAGTTACTAATGCCTTACTGTAGACACTTTACAGAAATTTCATCACTCTTAACTTCTACAGATCATTTAAGGAAACGGAGTATTTATACAAAGCATTCCTCAGACTCCCACTAACCTTCTTAGTTATTACCTCTCCTGCCACAGAAGGGTTCTGTTAAAAGATACACAAAAGTCAAGAAACGATTGCCTTTACCCAAAAAATAAGAAAATGGGGCAAGGACAGAAGAAGAAATTGAAGGCAGATGTAGTGATTATCTGACTTCAGCAACGCTTATTAGGAAACACTAAGACAGCATTTCTTCAAATTTGTTGTTAAATTTTAAATGTAAGATCTATTGACAATTTCTGGAAGTAAATCCATAGATATTCTTGTATCCAGCTGCTCTTTAATGGTTTGGTTGAAGGTAGGAAATATTTAACAAATGGGAAAACAAAACATTATCTTACAACAAGTATGGACTTTAGTGTTGTGAGCACTGAATGACAAATAGCTGCACAAATAGTGTGCATGGTTTGAATGAACATGAAGTGGTCTGAAATGACAATGCTCTGTTAATCATAAAGCCTGAGGAAGCCTAGGAAGTACAGGAGGGACAGAGGAAGAGAACAGACCACTGTCATTTCAGACCACTTCATGTTTCTAAGGTCTCAGAGACAACAGACTGAGTATCAGTACTCAGCAACTCAACCCAAACAAACAAGGAGGACATGTCATCCGTGCACCTTGGGTACAAAAAGCAACAGCAGAGACACAAAAAACAGGCACTTTAAAGGTGAATACTAACACACTTTCATTTATTTAAACCGTATTAAAAGTTAAGAAAAGTTACTTTATGGAGACTGCAAAGATCAGTTTAGAGATTCAGAAAAATGAATGCTTATTCAGAAGTTCGCCACACGCATTCCCAAATGGCACATGCAACTCTTATTGACATTTAGGCTAATAAGAGGAAAAGGTTAATGCATATCTCAGTATGTACCTTGGCCCGAGGACAAGTTATAGCCCCCAAATAAGTTTATCTCTTACAGTTAAAAGCATTTAAGCCCAAAACACATGCAGATTCACACTGATTAATAACTTTCAAAGGAAGAAAACTCTTATAGAATTTAAATCACAACAAAGCCACAAAATATACTAACCTGTCCAGGGATCCTGACAATAACCTTTGTCCAGAGCTGTTCAGGCATAAGCAAGTTACAGTTTTATGGTGATTTTTAAGTGAAACCAGTAATTGTCCACCTTTTAGTACATCCCAAACTTTGACATATCGACCTCCTGTGAGAAGGAAGCATATAGAACAGTCTGACATACATACACATTTATGCTTGTCTGCAGAAGTTTTCAGAGGGCGATACAGTGCCTCCTTCATAACAGTTTTCTGTACCTACTCCCCATCCCCATCCATTACAACTATCTCCTGGGAAAAGACACGCTACAAGCCTGCTCTATTTTTAGGCCATTTTGCAGGCACAGCTGAATGATTCAACATACTCCTTACCAAAAATAATCTAGGTAACACTGGGTTACAGGAGTTCTGATGCAGTGGCCAGACAAGACTAAAAAACCTCATCATCATTAAGAGAAAGATACAGTCCCGTCTTTTCAAAAATTCTCAAGTACGTTTCTTCCTTCACTTTAGCACTGGGCTAATTAACGTCTGTATCTTGTCATTAGAAATGTCTTTTTCTTTTGGACCACCTACAAGAAAATCCAGTCAGAGACAAAAAGACCCCCACCTGCACCCTTCAGATCAACACAGATTCATTTGTAAGGATCTTTGAGAAATCCAGCTGTTACATCACTTACCACTTCATTACCAAACGAAAACACCACACAAGAAAAAAGCAGCTGAAATATTTCTCAAATTATGGCCACAGAAGTTTGATTTTACTGAAGTACCTGCAGATACTAGAAGACCACCAGACGGGAATAAAAGCACACTCTCCACAGGCTGGCCGTGTTCTATTGTCATGACGCTCCTTTTTGTTCGTGCATCAAACAGTTTCACAGTGTGATCATAGGAACCTGCAAACACCACCATAAAGAGCTTCAGTTTCATCATTTCAATTATTTCAGGAACTAGCACAGCCACATCCTACAATCTAAAGGAGCTCCTGCCAAACAGAAATAATTTTAAACCATACCCTTAGAACACCTTGTGGTTTACCCTGGTTAATTTACAGCCTTCGGGCAACATAAGTCTTCTAATTCTAACCCTAGCAACAGGTCAGGCCTTAAAAGTAATTTAAGTCTTAATTTTATTTCCCTTTCTTTAATCGAGTGTATTTATAACAACACATATCAGGCAACCTGATGTGCCTCCTAAAGTAATGAATACTATTTTTTTCAAGGGAATTTACCACAGATTAATAGAAAGTTAGTGCTAGGAAAACCAAAAGCAACTGGTTTCAAATAGCTCCTCACACGACCTTTCATTTTCAAGACTGCCAGTTTGGAGCTGGTACAAACTACCATGGAACTAGTGTCCTCCTCTGGAAACATGATAAAACACTTCAGTCAATCCCAACTGAAGGATATATTCACAGGATTTTCTTAAAACTGTCAAAGGTCAGTCAGAAAAGTCCCATTAAGGTGGATTCCCTACAAATATCAGCATCAAGTTTAGAAGGCAAGCAAAAAGTGAACAACAAAGCAGGCACTGAGTAGGAACACAGATCCTCCACATGTAAAATATAATAAACGAGAGCCTACACTATCAAAAACTACCTTCCTGCATTTCTCTTCAATTCAATCCAAAAGAAGCATATATAAAAAAAGAAAACCAAACCTGTTATAAAGACATCTGCATTCACTTTACTGGCACAGCCGCATCTCACATAGTCAGTATGTTCACTGTATGAGACGATTTCTGTAGCACTCGGAATATCCCACAGATTTGATGAATAATCATCACCACCAGAAAATATTCGGTATTTATCAGACAGGAAGCCCACTACATGAACGGCTCTAGAAACCAAAGTCCACAATATCCAAAATTAAAATAAATACTTGTTTCTAGAACAGTTTCTAGTCTGTATGAAGAGCTTATTAAAGTATTCTGCCTAACTTAAAAGTACAAAGTATTTACTGTTGGAAGTTAAAAAGCCTCACTTCAGAGATTAAAGACACTTTAGGTTTTATATTTCCAGCCAGAAAAGGGTTATGCTGACAGATGCTTACCTAAGCACTGCTATGATCTGCCTTAAAGGTTTTACAGGTCTACCAGATACTCATTCAAAAGCTATAAATTCTGCACTTGTTACTTAGAGGTCCGTGTGCTAGCACTATCCTTTAGAGAAAATTCATAAAACTGTGTTTTAAGTACGACTGGGTTGGACACTCTTCCTGTCCTCTAAAATCACTATTTAAATCTGTATTATTGTAACATCACAACAGAGAATGACTTTGACAGAAAACACAGATTCCCCAAGTCTTACATTCCCTATTACAGTTAATCTAGTGGCTAGGACATAAGATAATACCCAATCTACAACTACAGATCTCAGATACAAACCGCTCTCAAGGTCTGCCTGTGTGCTTTCCTGTGAAAGGAGGTTTGCTGTTGCTCTAGATAGAGAAAAACACATACTGGTCTTCCACAGCAGAGCAATCTGTTTAATCCAAGCATCGTCACTGTTTTCTCTTCACTGGTACATCAGAACTCCTAACTCCTTCCCCACCACAACCCCACCCTACCATCATGTGCTTTTCCTGTTTTGTTTTGTTTTGTTTTTTTTAAGGGATTCCTGCTCTTCCTGGGGTATTTCTTCACTGTCTTTGTTTAGCTGCTTATTAGAACTCTTTTTCTGCCAGCATCAAGTGAAATGTGCTTATCAGCACCATGCAGTCACAAGACCATGTCTAGACAACATATTAACAGACACCTACCTGAATTAGAAAACATATTAACTCCTTCATGTACTCAATTCATACTTAGAATTTTTTTAAAAAGTCACTCCATTTCTGAACTATATTTTAAAATCTATTTTTCAGTAATACCTATGTCAGACAGTTGCAAGCAACATAGATCAATATTATTCAGATTTTCAGCAACATGCGAAGCAGATGTATGCAAACACACCAAACAAGCTTACGCATACAAAGAAAAAACACAACACTGTCTTACTTAGTATGACCATCAAATTGTCTCAGTGGTGCTTTTCCACTAATGTCAAAGAGGCGAATGCTACCTTCCTCGCTGCCAGCAACAAGCAGATTGCCATCATCTCTGTATGTGGCACAATAAGCAGCATCTTTGAAGCGAGAAAACGTTTTGATTGGTTCCTGAGAGTAACGACCGTAAATGTGGATCTAGGAAAACAAAAAGACATTGAGTTCACCCTCATAATACCTAATGAAGGACGAGAACATAAAAACCTCAGAAAATCCACTTACCCTTGAGGAGGCTGAGACAGCATAGTTATACGGAGGAACCTGGGAGAAGTCGATTTTATTTACTGCACCAAACTCCTTTATCTGAACAGGTGTCTAAAACAATTGCAATAAAGATGATTAAATGCGCATAAGCACACCATCAAAAATCAAAACAGCAAAACAAAACCTATTCTCCCTACAGAGAGCTCAAAATTCCATTTAGAGCCAAGTTACTTTTTAAATGCAATCCTACTGAGCTTCTCTTCTGCCAGGCTACGTCTCTTACAATCTTTTTTTTTTTCTTTTTCCTCTTACAATTTTTTTTTCCAATTCACGCATTACAACTGACCCACCAATTACGCGTTTTGAGGAGATACCCACCTTACTCGTTCGCAAAAGTTTAAAAATACTTCAATTACTCGCAGGAAAGCGGTTTAAAAA